AACCCATAATCTTCGACAACGAAGGTTATGACGAAACATAACTATTAAAAAGAATGCAATACGAGTCGAACCAAATGAAAATATCTACGACGAAGTTAATGTTATTAAAGAAACGATACTTACAAGATCGGTATATAGAAAGAAAAGACCAAGAGTACGAAGCCGGATCGTTACAAAAGGCTATATAGAAAAAATCGAGGACGAAAACTCTATTTACGCTTCTACATTAATATTCACAAGATTCCAGACACTTTTCGCACTATAAATGTCATAACCAAACTAATTCGCACAACTAAATAACATCCCTATAGCATTTCTACACATATTTATCGTAAAAGGCTACGATATTAACAACTACTGTCTACCTCCAGCCATCTAAAGACTATTATCCACAACAGGATAAAATCTGGCGACAAAAGAAAGTCATATATAGATTACGTAGTTCACCAAAAGCATGGCAGGATTACCTAGTGTTACAAAATTTTAGCTTTATAAGATTGAAACCAGAACCTAACGTCTACAGCAATGCGACCCACGACTGCTATATTAAGGTCTACATGGACGATTTACTGGTATTTAGAGACAAGATTACGATCGATTCCATTTTCGAGGCCGTCCAAAAACAGGTCCTACTCAAGCATATCGACTACCTCGATTTTGGCAAACCACAACAATTTCTCGGAAGACATATCGGCCACTTTAACAATTACTACAACTTTGGACTAAAAAACTCCTATATCGACAATATGACGACTAACTGCAACACAATAACCACTCCAAGAATCGCACACTACAAACCAACAATAGAAAATACAACACTTCTTAACCACGAAAAACACAAAAGGTATAGAAAGATTGTTGGCAAACTTCAATAATTAACATACACGCGACCAGACATCGCACACTCTACAAAAGAACTAGCATGAGACCTTATAACACCTATAGAATTTTCATAAAAGAGAATTAAACATTTATTACCCTATTTGCACGACACCAAGCACTACAAATTCACTATAAAACAACTAATAACACTCAGAGCAAACACTAGCAACATCTTGGATCTCGATATTCATCTCGACGCCGACTGGGCAAGATGTCGTATTACTAAGAAATCAACTTTAGGTTTTAATATCATCTTTTTAGGAACAACCATTGCATTTGGTAGCCGAATACAAGCTAGCACTCAACTCAGCAGAGTCTGCACTCTATGCCATTTGCATAGGAATTAATACGGGACTATATTTTGAACTTAAAACCAACATTTGCAGCAAGCTAAACCTATATATGCACACAGATTCGACAGCAAGCAAGAGCATTGCTACACGACAAGACACTAGCAAACAAGCAAAACATATCGACCTCAAATTTCTCTATACCCAAGACCTCATCAAACACGACATCATCAGATTCCTTACTTTCAACACACTCCACAATAACGTAGATTTGTTTACCAAATACATGAAATAACAAACACTGCATAAGCTTATCCAGAGCATTAAGATACGCATTTAGCATTACGAATGGCCAGCATAGCAGTTTTATGATAACAACAACGATTTTGGACATTTCTTGTATATAAGTAGCTACATGTAACACGACATCTTTAATATGTAAACAACAATAACTACATGTATTTTTGCTTGCACTCTTAGCGACTAAGTCAACACTACAATTATTTGTTTTACATGTCTGTATACATCGCCTACCTAATAGCTATTATTTAGGCTCATATTATTTTGCCCCATTTCACTATATTTTACATTCCACTAAAGCCATGGCCGCTCCATCTACTACAGATATTATAATGGGAGATGCAATTATGCCTAACAGGGCGAATATATTTAAGGCGATATTCATTATAGAATTCCATCACCTTAAGCCTACAACGGGTCCAACTACCACTTCAATCATTAACTTTAATTATTCTACGCCTAACAACACGATCTACTACAATCCGACAACTGTAATGGACCAACTACATATTACGGAGCACTAAACAACCGCTACTCCATCACTACCCGATAACGCACCCTACATCCAATTTTTCACTGCACTCATACATAATCAGTATCAACTACTCTCATAACAACAAACAATTCCACTTGCGCAACTAGACTACACACGACCTATTCACTGCATCCCTAAAAACCTCCGGACACCCCATTACAACTCCACACTACTCAGCGCTTCACTATAACCAACGTCCGCTACTACCACACGATTTCACTCCGCACTACAACTAGCGACGACACCAACTACATTATCATCCAACTACAAATTAAACAACTATATACCTCACTTCAGGATAATTTATCCACTTCACTAAAGAGTATATTTCCTATATGATATCAATACAACAGAACTACTACCTTCTAACTACACCACTCCCACAGACCATCCACAAGGTGAATTACAACATGACCACCTTCACCGACAATTACAGACTAAGAAACAACTCATTTAGAAGTATCGTATACCCCTACTACTACTTAAACTACTCCACTACCTCTAGAACCGAGACCAACTGCACGACTTTCAGCACAAAACAATTACTACCATTCTTTACAAAAAAAATCCAATACTACGGCTTCACATTACTCACTATAACCAACCTCATCCAACATCACAAAGCATTACTGCATTGTTTTCTTCGGGACTTCGACTAATATATATCGTATCCCGAGATAGACGACGAGCGACTACGAAGAACTCCTAACTACATGACAACCTTTTTACATAATCATTACTATGCGACCTTAGACAGCAGACTACAAATGATCCAAGACTATCGCGCCCAGAAATGGGGGCTGAGCTCATGCTCCTCTACAACGAATACCTATCTCACGAGTTCCATCCAACGTGCTATATCGAGCTGAAACATGAACAGCATGATTATTGAGCGCAGGTCACTATTTTTGCCATTACAATAGAATTAATAAACAATAATGGTTTTTATCACTATTATTAATTCATGTTATACATTTGAATTAAAAAAGTGTTACAAACACCTTTTAATTGAGGGGCCGTATCAAATTATATGCTTTACTTCTTACATTTGTATTGTACATACCGTAAAACTTAAACTTATTATTTTGTATAAATAACAAAATTAGCAGCTATATTATATTGGTTAACTATTTGTTTGCATACTATAGCCTGCACTTATAAATAAAAATAGCAACCGAATTTAACGAAAAAGAAAAAAAGACAAAACAGAAAGAAAGAGATAGAAAGAGAAAAACAAAGGAGAAAAAAAGAAAGAGAAAAAGAACAAGAGAGAAAGAGAGAGAGAGAGAAAGAAGGAAGTAGGCAGGCAAGCAAGTGCGAACAATGGTAGCATCAATCAGAAACGAAAATAATCTAGCGGAGCTTAAAAGGGGGAGATGCGGCACGCGGCAACGCGGAAGTGTGCCATCTTTGTGAACCGATACGTAGAAATAAACATAAACAGACAAACAGATAAAAATAAAGACAGGTATAGACAGACATTATCAAATAGACAGATACGGACATGCGAAAATAAACAGAGAGACACAAAAAGACACAAAGAATTAGAAACGAACGACAGACACGAACACATAAAGACAAAACAAAGAGAAACCGAGATAACTCGAGAGAGAGGGATACACACAGACAGATAGAGACAAGGAGGCGCAAACACCAAAAAGGAACAGATTGGGATACACAGAAATAGAAAGAGAAAGACAATGAAATAGATAAATACGGACACACGGAAACAGACTGGGAGACACAGAGAGAGGCAAGGATACATAAACACCCGGGCACGAAATGTTCGAGAAATTTCCACTCGGACAAATTCCCAAATTTCCCCCCGAAATTTGGCCCGGTAATTTTTTCGGCAAACCGTCAAATTCTAAAGAAATTTGGGAAGGTAATATCCGGAAACCTAAGAGTCGCGTCGCCGGAAGCGACCCAAAATTTGGGCAAAATTTTGGGGCCTTCCTGCCCGCGCGAAGAGGCGGGAACTTGTGCTGCGGAGAAAAAATCCAAGACAAGTATAGTCGCTCGCCACAAGCACTATAATTCGGCCTGAGTACCGCTACAACGGCTTGCCGATACACGGGAAATACGACCTCGAGGTCATACCGTTTTATAAGAGAATATATTTCAAAGCTTCAAACATCATTTTCAAATTAAATATCTAATTTAAATAAAAATATATATTTATAAATATATATTTATAAATATATATATATAAATATATATATAAACATACATATAATAGAATCAAATTTAAATTATAATCAAAATTCAATTAATCAAATAAAACCTACATATTTATAAATTTAGAATTAAATTAAATTATAATATTCATTTCCACTATATTCCCATAATTCAATGCAAAATCTAATTAATATCATTCAATTATATATTCAAATTTATAATCAATCAATTCATAATACCATTAACATATATTTTTAATTAGTCTTCCAAAAAACATATATATATAAAATAAAAATAATTATATAGTTCTTTTTATATTCATATTTAATCTATATCAATATACCATCAAAATCTGATTAATAATTTTATATTTATCAAATTAAATTTATATTTATCAAATTAATTTTAGATTTATATATATATATATATTATCGAATACTAATAATTATATTTCAATAATTAAATCACGATTAATTAAATATATCATTTTTTAAATACAATTTAATCTAATTATTTATTTAAACATAAAAAATAAACCAACTCTCACACAAATTATAAATCACTATTTATTTTTTCTATAATATTTAAACACAAACATAAATATTTTATCTACACAAACCATATTTGTATAATTAATATCAATTAATTATATTATCCAACCAACACTTATAAACCCAAATTCTCCATATAGTAGTTGCAAAACACCTTCATCGCATATAGAAACAATCGTAATATAATGATAGATTTACAAATAAACCTATACATCTCTATGTCTAGAACCGCTAGGACCATCGCTCTTCTACGTCGGGCTGATTTTCCATTTATGGGCTATGCCTTCCAAGATGTCCCCTTTTTGGGACACCCAGACCCCAAGGAACCCTCCGAAGTGAAAACACCAGGCTCTTAGTCTGACTTTTGCAGCTCGGCCCGCTGTTTCAAGCACCAGCAATCAGCTCCGCCGCCCCATCCTAAGCCATTGCTTCAGGGGAACGTGCTATGGATTGCCAGGGCACATCAGGTCATCAATAGATTCTGGGCATTGCCAGAAGCCATATCTGCCACCGCACCGGGGCTCATGCCCTGCGTGGCATGGTCAAACCATAGAGCCGCCTCCTCAAGCTGTTCGTAGGCAGTATCCATGGAGAACAAGACTCTGTCACTGCCCATCACTGCCACGAGATGCTGGAAAGAGGGCGTGTCAAACATCCCGCTGGTAGTGGCCCAAATGTTTCTGCGCAAGTAGCCTTCGATGGTTAGATTGCGCTTGAAGCGGCCGTTCTCATCCGAGTGGTTAAAAGTGACAGTTGTTGGAACTACATTCCTCTTCCAGCCTTGCATCTCCAGGCGATGGTCAATTCGCCAAGCCCAGAATGCTAACAGCTCCGCGTCATGGCCAATGATGATCCTCAAGCGAGGGAACTTGTCAAAGAATCCTTCCAGCATGAGCCGCAGTATATGCTCTGCGGTTTCCAAGGAGAATCCCCACGGAGACCCCTGCAACTCTGGAAACTTCTCATAGAGAGGTCTAGGCTGATCTGCCCTTGGATGCAGGTAGATGACGGCATTCCTCTCTTCCACTGTTTTCCAAAAAAAGGTGTAGTTCAGGGTGCCATTTGTGCCATCCGTGTCGTAGAAGTTAGGTTTCACATCAGGACCATCACCATCAGTGCCGAAGCCATTGATTAAGGCGCCTGGGGATCCACGATCCATGCACTCCTCCAACTGCTTGGTTGCCGCAGATGGGCAAAACATGGGCAGGACACACCAAAAGTTAAGACGCTTTGGGTATGGTTTTACAGCCTCGTACATCTTTTGATTCCACGTCTGGATTTTCTCAATGGCAGCATGCTCGGAAGGACCTCCCATACGGGTGATGTGCATATCTTGCGTGTTGCCAGTCATGGAAAGTACCATATAGCTCACGTTATACTCCTCGCCCACTCTGATACGATTGGAGATGTGGCCCAAGGAAAGGTCAAGCAACTTGTCCAGGTTTTGAAACCACTCGACAGGCGGATCAGGATGGTTGAAGTACTGCCATGAGTCATTGAAGCCAACATGTTCCTCCAAAGCAGTCTTTGGAAGACTGCAAGTGTTGCAACTGCTGCGCTTCAATGATGGCATCTCATCTTGATTTCCAAGCTGTACGCGCTTGGCCGACACCTGCAACAGGTGGACGTCATCTGGCCTGGAGCATGCAGCAGCAAAGACTGGACTGAACACAGCCAGGAAAACTGCTATGGGCGCCATGCGTGTGAACCTTTCGACTGATTCGAGCCAGGGCT